GGTAACAGGACGGAAGGGGGAGCTCGCGAATCGCCAGTCGGACTGGGGCTTCCCTGAGAGCCGGTAGCTGGTTTCTTGTGTGAGCGAGCGCACAGGCGGGTGGGAAGGGAGGCACTTCTGTGACTGACCGGTCCCGCCAGGGCAACCCCGCCCATCGGACCGCCGCGGCAGCTTTGCTTTTCGACCTCAGGCGGCTATATAGGACACGCTTATACCCAAGTTTGTGAGAAAAGGGTATTCAGCGAGACGACTCATACTATAATCCAAGGGATGTGGCAGGAAAGAGCGGGGTGGGGGTGGGGGGAGGAGGTGCATGGCTGCCTGGGACTTTTCCAAAGAGTCCCTGCGACTTTTAGGCGCTCGAAAGATGCATTTTCACGTGGAGCTCGGCTAATGGGACGGAGGATTGTCCGCCGCTCCTCTTCCTCAAGAGAACAAAAGGATGGTGAGGACGAGCATTCCTTCAGAAATGTGCAGTTGATTCAGTAATACAAAGTAGCTCAAATAATTGGAGGGACTGAGGTGTTGTTTCTTTTTCTCTCCCCCCCACCGGCAAACTGCCACTTCAAATTTACTTCTAGGACCTGAAAACCATCTGCTTTCCATTCTGCTTTTCAGATCGATTAGAAACATAATAATAATAATGGTATTTCCCCCGAGAATTTCACAGCCTCACAGGTACCCCTCAGTGGTGACCACTGGAGCAACGCCTCACAACTGGTTCTTGTTCAATGCTCTGACAACTCCGGTTTGGAATCGCTCAGAAAAAAATTAACCATTTCTGTGGGCTGAAGCTCACCGATTCAGTCCTTATTAGCCTTAAGTAAACCGTTCCATATAAAAGCCAGCTGAAAATTCATTCAGTTACTCCAAATTTCTCCCAAAGCGTTTTCACTGCTTTTAAAGTATGAAGACAAAGATTCTCCTCCTTGCCTGCTTCCAAGCATTGGAAACTTCCCCTCCGTTCTCTCCTTTGCAGGCAGGTGCATTCCCTGGGAACAGACGGAGCTCTCCTGGGAAAGTGGCACCCCCAAAGTGAAGATGAAACAAGTACCCCACCCCTTGAAACACATGGCCATCACTGTTAAAGGCTTGCCTAGAATTAGCAAAACATTGCCATCCCTTCCCTTTCATGGGGGTGAAAGGACAAAAAACAAAAACACAGTGTTATTGTGCCCATGTTACCTCTTGGTGCAGGAATCTTCTTCCCCCACTAAAGATGTGTCAGCCTCACTCAAAATTCAGTTGGGAGTCAGTGGCGGCAAAGCCATACACCTGGTTTATATACTGTAGTTCCCTCTCCGCCTGTCCTGTCCATTAGAGTGCTATCGACTTTAGGTGGGTGGCAGGCAATGAAACCTTCTCTTAATCATTCTTCCTCAGCTCAATGAGGGTCTTTTTTCTTCCCTGACAAACTTCCTCCTTCCCACTTGTCCCCCTGAGAAGCCAGTTCAGAGCCATCAATTGAGATGACTCTTACCTACTTGTGAAATTAAATTGTCTCACAGATTAGGGGATGTTTTAGGCTTCTTGGTCAGAGCAGTTTTTTTTTCTTTTCATTCATTTCTTTCCTTTCTTTCCTTCTTTTAGCTGGATTTTCTGGTACTGATATAATTAGCAGGACAGGGGCAGAGCTAAAATAAAGTCTTAGGAATACAAAGAGAATGGCCTCTGCCACCTGAAAGAAGAGCCCTTTGTGCACACATTTCTCACAGTTGACCTAAGCTTAGAGAAGATGACAATGTGGGTTTAAGTAAAAGAAAGGTGAATAGTCCATTAGAAGTTTAAATTAAGTCTATGTGTGCTGACTTCTGATAGACAATGGGAGCATTTTGTATTTTAAAGGGGCTTTTAGCATATTTAACGAAGTATGTAGAAGGAAAGCCAGATATGTGTAAATAAAGAACAATATGAAATGATATACTATTCAAAATGAACAACTAAATAAAAAGGACTTTTTCATTGTAAAATCACTATAATAAGAGAATGGATTGGGAGTTGGGGTGGGGAATGAATAAGATTGCTCCGAAAAAGAAATATGGGCTACTCTTGAAAAGCTTAGCAGAACTGGACATGAATTTGGATGAGAGACTATCAGGAAACTCCAGGGCTATGGACCAATATCCCTGAAACTATTTGTATAATGTGGACATGTCTCTGAAGTCATCAGATGCTGAGCTCAACTCAAAGGTGACTATCTTTTTATTGATCCTTTTAAACCTTGGCATGTCAGATTTGGAAAGTCTCATTTAATTGAGGACTCTGTACAGCATAGAAGCTCACAAGATCATACCCCCATTTTAAGAGTAGAAAACATGACCAAGATGCTATAAGAATTGCAAATGTTTTAAACTGTATTCAGGGTTTGCTGTTTTTGGAAAAGTCATACAAGGAAGCTCTAGGCTTGGAGTATTAGTCACAGAGTGGTTGACAGGATGGATTACGAAGTATAAGCAGTGATACAGCAGAGACTGGAAGTGAGGTTGAAGAATTCCATTTCAATGGCGGATGAGTATGATTGATCACGCAATATCAATAGTCTGCAAAACACAATTAGAAATATACCTGTCCACCTCATATAGTACAGTCCATTAATATCAGTCTGAGAATCACTGACGAATAAATAAAGGCCTGTATCAAATTTCTCCTATCAATTACCATCTATGTGGGTTGGGATTATTGTTCTTGGGATTTCAAGCCACCATATCCAGGTGAATTGGACTACAAGTCCCAAAATTTGGAGTCAACGTTTACTCAAGACCATTTCTATTGGTTAAAAGTATGCTATTTAAAAGGAAAACATGGAAAAAGACGACACTTGCTGAATCGGAAGTTGAGACGTAAGATTGATCTTTTCTTATAAGGGGGAATATTCAACCCTGCATATTCATGTGTTTCAATGAATTCATTCTAAGTATTGAAGAAATGCTGTTAGATCCTGGGAAGCTTTAAAATAGTGGAAAGTTGGGGGGGAAAGCAAAAAATGAAATGAAATGAAATGAAATGAGAAGCCATTATCAAATGGCTTTGTTGTTGTTCAGTCATTAAGTCATGTCCGACTCTTAGTGACCCCATGAACCATATTGCGCCAGGCCTTCCTGTCTTCACT